AGGTGGAATGGATATCGATGAAGCATTAGTTGAAGAGGGTGGAAGGTAATAATGTGTCGTGCTTTGACTTAATGAGATAGAAAACAATGATTAAACCTATTATTTATTAATTAGGCTCATATACGATATGGATTATGAAGAAAATTTGGATTCTACATTTGAGCAATTAAAAATTACGGATGGAAAAATGGTAAAAGTTACACCTGACGGTGATGAGTCAAAATGTCCAGCTATATTTGCAATTTCTCACAAGTAAGTGTTAACGGTTATGAAAATAAGCAATAATCCTTTCAATCGTTGTATAACCCGCATACCAAAATTAGGGAAACATTTGAAGTGCCAGATACCTTGTTGTATGTCGACGGTAATCCAAGGAAACTCGTTAAACACAAAAATGTAGAAGAGAACTTTAATTCATCCTCTCATAAGAGAAAAATTGATGATTCAGAAATAGATTCTCAAGAAACCATTCAAGTACACAAGAAGTTTACTACCAATGACAAGGTCATAGTCAAAGATGACGATATCATAATGACAGATAAAGGCCCCTATGAACTAATTACTCTCGATTAGATCACTTTTTACTGAGAGTTATGATGTTTCTGAGCAACGTAATTAAATCAAATATTAATCTTACTACCCATATTGGTGAATAGGTTAAAAAAGCCCATAATTTACTAATTTGTAAATTTTAATGAGTATTGGATTTTTGTGATAAAACAGTAATAAAAAAAATTTTTTTTTTTTATATAAATTTATAAAAATTTTCAAATTATGTTTTTTTTTTAATTGTTGCAATAAAAACATAAATAAAATTAATTTGTTTTTATTTTAAATTCAACTTTTTGTCGGTTAATTATGTGTACTTTTATAGATTATACATAAATTTATATATCATTAAAGTTGATTTTTTAATTAATATGCTTATCTTAATTTAAATAATTATAACTTTAAGTATAACTTTGAAAGTGATTTATTATTTTATTAATAGTTCAAGTAAAAACCCTTTCAATTGCTAATATTATTACTCACAAGTTATTATTGCAAATTATAAAATAAAATTGTTTTTTATTTTTTTGCTTTTTTTTTAATCTATAGTTAAATCAGCATGATATGTCTTTATTATATACTGTATAGGCTAAATATTTACAAAATATTGTGACTTTCATATATTAACTTACCTCTCATCGAAAAATTATTTTCTAGATGCAACTTAGAAAATAATATTTTACCTTTTTGCTAATTTTAATAAGTTCTTAAATTAGTAAAATTATTATCTACAAATCCTTATTATAGATTACTATTTTTTTTTTTTTTTTTCAATTAGATCAAACTAATATTTTATTAATTAATTGAATACATAAGTATAATTTATTCAAGTAATATTAGTATATACTATAGTTATATTATTTATTAAGTCTAATAAACTTATTATAAATAATAATAATTTTTAAATTTAAAAATAATATTTTGTTTTATAGTAAATTTTGAATAAATATCTTTTTAAATTATATATTATTTAGATTTGTAGGTCTATGGCATTGTGACAATACTTTCAGATTATATTATAATATTTAAAGTTCAATATTATATAAAAACTATATTAAAAAAATAACCAAGTTATATGAGAATAGAACTTTTGATCTTCTTGTTAATTGCCAGATTAAAATTAATTTATTATAAAATTATATAAAAAAAAACTTCAAATTTGATTACTTGAATTATATCTAATCTATTCTTCCTGAACTAGATAAGAAATAAATCTTAGAATCTTGCTTTTAAAATAATAATAATTATTTTTTAAAAAAATATCAATTTCAAATTATATAGTAAACTTTGAAATTTTGTTTCTAGGATTATAAAGATTGTTTAAATAATCTAATTCAAACTATATTAATAAAATTTGGAATCTAACTATCCTAGTTTAAAATATTTTAATCTGATAATTGCTTAAATAAAAAATCTGTTAAATAAGAGTTATTTATAATACTATAGGTAATAATAATAAAAATAAAAATTCTTTTTAAGATTTAAATAAGAGTATTAAAAATCTAGATAATTAAATAATCTAGAGAATTTAACTCTAATATATAAGTTAATATATTAAATATAATAAATAGATCAATATATAATTTCAGACTAACTATATTAACAACACTATTAATAATTATATAAAATCTACTTAGCTCTAGTTAGATATATTCTCTCACTTGAAAGATAAGTAGATCTAATTAAAACAAGTTATAATAAATTATTATTAATTTGTATATAATATATAAAATAATTGATATTATACTCAAAATTTAATTATTAATAAAAAAACTTGCATTTAATATTAATTATAATTAAAAATTTTATTATTATTATTATTATTATTATTATTGTATACCTGTAGTCAAGTTAAATCATTATTTATTAATCAATTAAAAATAAAAGTATATTTTCACTTGAGTAGTTTAATGCATAATATAATTAAATATTTTTATCAAATCTAACAAACATATTGTAAACAATAATAACCTTTAAATTTGATCTTGAAAACTATATTTTGCTTTATGATAGTTTTTGAATAAACATCCTTCTAATTTATCACTTTATTGTTAATAGATTATCACTATTAAATATCCTATCAAGCCATTAAAATATAGGAAATTACAAAAGAATAAATAGATAAAAGAAAAAATGAGATATCTAAAAATGTTCAAATAGACTTGCAAGAAAATAAAAAAAAAAAGAAAATAAAATTCTCTATTTTTCTCCAAAGACTGACTTTTCAAGACTTCTTTTCAATAAGAAATATTCAATTTAAATATTTTTTTTTCTCCTAATTATCTGAAAAACTTATCTATTCTTGATCTTAATTTTCTTCTCATTAAGTCAAAGCACGACACATTATTACCTTCCACCCTCTTCAACTAATGCTTCATCGATATCCATTCCACCT